TATAGTACACAATATTAATTGAAAAAATATTTAACATGAACAAATTTAACTTAGGGAAGTTTCTGGTGAAATGTAGTCAGCAGTAGCATTTCAGACCTATTGATGTCTTTTTTTACTCTTTAAAAAAGACATATAAATGATTTCGTTAATTGTAAACTTGAGAATTCGATATAATGAATATACGGTGCAACAAAAAACCTGTCCGAAAACTCTGATTAAATTTCTAAAAGGCTCTGTAGACGCATATATAGTTTTCTCAGAATAAAAAGTACTCTATAATAATGCGATGGCATCTTATTGACGAAATTTTTATTCGACGTTTGTAAAGATAAACCGGAAATTAATTCAATTGAATTCTGAAATCAAATTTATTTTATACCACAACATTATTACATCTTGCCATGTTATTTATAGTCTTCGAGTATCATGTTATTAAAATCAGATCAGTTTTTTACAATGAACCAATGTTCAATCAATAAAATCGAATAAGGTAATGCAATAGAACCTCTTTTTTAACTATCGAGAATTACTTATAATAATACAGCAAAATTTTATTAGTAATAATTTCCAATAATACACTATTTTTTTAACGTATTCAAAGAATGAAAAAAGACGAAAAATAAAATATTTTTTCCTAATTGTTAATTAATTTATTATTTAGTTTTTTTATGGTGTTGTAGTGAACTCTTACATAAAGTCATTCAGTTTTTAGATGGAACTATAAAATAACTTTGACAGTGACATAAGTACCGCGACCACAGAATAATTTGTGGAGTATTGTTACCTTTTTTTTTGCTTATCAAAATTTTTTTGCTCTAAATCGCTATTTAAAAGAAAAGAACAAAAAAAAAGGTCACTATGACTAAAAATTAAAATGCAACAAATCATTTCAGGTTCGCCACTGACACACTGCCTCCTTATTAGATGTCCCAGCATTAATAACGTTGTGTCAAGTCAATAGCTGGTGTATAAATCCTGTCAAATGAAAGTAGAACCGATTCATAATATTTGGGATAAAGGCTAAAAATTTGATGATAATAATTGGTTTTTTATATCTATATATTATAATGACTAGAATATTATTTATTTAAATTTATCACACATAAGTTCATCCTTTCACAAACCAGTAATTTATAGGCAAAAAACATAAACTATGTACACATAATTATTTCAAAATAATTTTTTATATATTTTAATAAAGAATATACTGATTTCATTCAAAAAAAATGAAACAATATTTTTTTAATATATTAATTATGAAAAACATGATAATTTTTTTATTAAAACCAGCAATATTCATCAAGTTATCTTGGCTAAATTTAAGTAAGTTATGTTTTCAAAAATAATTATATATTATATTATTTAGTATTGAGCCCATATCTGTTATTTCCTTTCATCAAAACTTTAGTCATTAGGATAGGACTAAAGTCTTTTTAGACTTTTTAGTCCGCCAAACTTAAACTGTATCTCATAACTTTTCAATTCCATTTAAGAGTTCCGTGTTTTTTATAGCACAACTAAAATTATTAATTTGAAAAACTGACTTCACTCATTACTTTAATACATTGAAGTAATATAAATTCAAATTTCTTGTACTATTCAATCATGATCGACGATATTAAATTTTTCGAGGTTTAAAATCAAATTTAAAAACAGAAGTATCTATGTGTACAATTCAAAATATTTTTATGCCCTCATAAAATTTAAAAGTTGTGTATTTAAACCTAAAAACTTTATCCTGTATGTTATTGCGTACCTTTTGTTTTTATACATACACACACAGCTATTTCTCAACTTAAATTTTATCGTTTTTCAGTAAAACAGTATGGCTGATTGCTTTTGTTTTGAAAAATATTACCGCAAGTACTGGATATCGAATGGCGGCGTCAAGTTGTTCCAGGAATATTATAATAACAAAGTGTTACTTAGTTGAACACAACTAGAACATTGCGGGAAATGACCTACATGTAATTTGCTGGGTACCTTAGTACTGTGCATCGTTTGATGGCCATTGGCGACTATTAGTGTAATAAAGACGGTCTATCAGCAGCTGCTCTGAGCAATAATAATACAACGGTGTACAGAGAATCGTAGAAAGGAATCAAAGAACAATACTTAAGAGGGTTACATATATTATACTTAACCGTCGATATTCCTTAGTTTCTTATTCTGATCACACTACTGTTGAGATTTAAAACGCATAAAAAATCATCATAATTATTTTTATTGTAATAGGTGCCATTGAAAAACTATTATTACCATACTGCAAACCATTAAATGGTCAAATGTAGCATTATGGTTATTGAAGTAATATAAATTAGTGTTTGCCTTCCAGCAAGATATGAGCTTCCAAGAAATAATATGTTATTATAGTAATAACTGCTTCGACTATACCAAGTCTGCGAGAACGCGGTCACAGAACACATCAGTTGGCTTTTTAAATATCAACGTACAGGAATGCGTCACGAACAGCGTGACAAATTTAGTGTTGCAGAGTAGCGACGTTATTTTTTGAGTATCTAAAAAAATGAAAAAGTAAGAATGTGCTGTCGTTCAATATAAATGTGAAATGAATAGCGTTACAATCGTTATAACAAATATTGGAGAACTTAAAATTAAAATAAACAAAACTTACAGTTAGGTAACATTGAAACAAACTATTAATAAAATTTTAAAGACATTATTTTTCATCAAAATTATTGTGTATTTTTGTAATTTTTTTTCAAATGTTATATAAGTCAGTACTCTGCACAATATTCGTAAAGTAATATTTGCATGTTGTATTTAGATTAATTATAACTATTGACATTTTGTCAATTTATTTCAATAAAATCATCACAAAAAATTAATGTTATATAAATAATAAATTAAATATTACAAAATATTTTAATAATTTATAAGCCATTTGAACGTTGAAAAAATATAAGTAAAAAGACTGAGTTTTAATTTTGTTTGGTTTCACATTAAAACAAAAATTGTGGTAGATCTCTGAAAGATCCACTATTTATTCATTCGGGAAATTAATTCAATCATCAAATATATTTTACAAGTAATCCCTCATGTTGATAATATTTTTTATTTTTTTAATTCAATGGTAATTATTTTTTAAATAATAAACTACCGAACATTTACATTGTGATATTTGTAAATAATAGAAATTAATCTGTCGATATCTTTACAACAGGTATCCTACTGTGATATTCTTTTTCTATTAGGTTACTATGTTTCTGAATTGTTGCACAATATTATTAAGGATCTTTAACATGCAAACTAAGGTTATTTTTAGAGGCTGCGAGTAATCCTATAATTAAATAAATGTATATGTATGATGAATAATATAAAATATTAGTAATTAGGGAATTCCCTACAAAAAAAAAATTATTCGGTGAATATTATTTTAGTTTATAGCTAGTTATGCAATGGAAATAATGTATTAATAACGTTTTCAAATGTTATTGTTTTCATATTATATAACAGCATTTTTTTATTATACTTTTATAGTAAAAATTTCAATAAGTTAACTTAAAAAATAAAAGAGAGTTACATTTATAATTTTTCCAATGAATTCAACCAACATAGCCCATGAACCTAAAAGCTAATTAACAAAAATTAATCAGTAAATATTTGTTTTTTTTTTCAACTTGGTGTAAATTATGTTAATTAATTTATGGCAGAACTGAAAACGCCAATTAGTCATCATTCAATATTTTTAAAGAGAGAAAATTAGCAAAAATAAAAGCAATAATTTATTTTAGTTGTAGCAAGCTTAAACAAGTGATAGTTTGTTTTTTAGATTGGAATTTCAAGTTGTAGCTCTGGGACTTTTCTGAATGATCATTTAATGCACCTATGTTTGGCAACTACTTATATAAATTTAATCTTGTTATTATTACACGCGTTGTAAGAAAAACATTAAATAAATAGGAAAATTATAGGCTACTAACATGTAACTAAACGTTCGTATAAAATCAAATTAGGATGGTAGAAATTTAATCTAACATTCTTCAAAAAAATGTAACCTATCATAATCTAATACTTACTGTAGTAAATGGATAGGATATAAAAATGCGTTACTTAGAGAACTTTTTTTTAATTACTAGCAGTTTAAATCTTTACAAAGGTAAAGAGGAACAATTATACGTTACAATGGCTCAGAATGTAAATTTCTGACGAAAAAAAAATCTCAGTTTTCAGAGATTCGAAAAACACTTTAGGTAAAAGTTTGAATTTAAATTACTTTGATTTCCTACGTCCATTTAACAATCATGGTAATATTTATGAATTTCCTTGGAACATTTTAAATTGCCTGAGTTCCAATTTCATTTACAATACTGAACCTATACAATGAAATCCTTGAGAAAATTAAAAATTCTCTCTTAACAGTTGAAATTTATTAAAATTGACTGTTAAAAGTACAATATTATATTCGCAGGGACATAATTATGTTTTTACCTGATGCACTAAGTAATAATTAATTTTTTTCGACAGACTGTTAAAATCTGTCAATCGTTTATGATAAAAAAAAAAAGAAATGAAAAATTAACAACATGATATTGGGCTGTACGGGGAATACCGATGTTAGCTTTAAAGCTTCCGCCACAACCAATTTTGCTACCAATTTTATTGGTCGACTTTGTCGAGATGCAACTTTGTTCTTGTATGCATTAACAGTACATTACTATACACAGCGTCATGTAGTAATAAAAAGTAAAATGCACTTGCCACTCGTTGCACCGTAATATACATTATCTCCTGAGGAAAATTATCGACCATACAAACGAAACAGGTTTGGCCGTTTGAGACGTACCTGCGTTCCCCTCTACAGAAGAGAACAATAATAACGTTAACGTTTTAATGTACTCGGTAATAGTGCCCACCTCGGCGGATACACCTTTCCATCCGTTGCCACCACCATCACCGCAGCTATTTTCTCCTCCGCTTCTTCCACCCTTTCTACCGGCGAATGGTCGGCGTTCCTAATTAACGTCGGCCCGGTAAACGCACGCACGCATTAGTTTGCCGAAGACATACATGAACGTCAGTCGATTACCACTCATCCGGTTATAACCCCGTCGAGCCGGTTCCCGTCGAACAAACCGATGGTACACAGTATCTTATAGATTTTATTTATATTGAATTTTTTTTAATTGTTAACTCAACTAGTTCGTTTAAGTACTGCCGGGCACTGCGAACGCCTGGCCGCATCACGAGTTCTGCAAAGTCGTGGCTATGCACTGTTAGAGGCTCAAGTTTTCTAAGGATTACAATCGCCAAAACATTTGTTACAACTCGACGACAATATATAATGAGAAACAAGTAAGAAAGCGAATCAATATAATAGAATGTAATTTCGAATTCATTTGCTCGTCCAAAACTCGTGTCTCGCTGATAAAAGTCATAATTGCACAGAAATAATTATTGAATAATACGCGTTTTGTAATTTTGATAATCTCTGTGTACGATTGTAAACGAAAGGCACGCAGGGTTATACGTTTATTATCATTGTTGTTTTTAAGTCGAGCGAAATTCCGGTAAAAACTTTGATATATACTTCTGGGATTTAAAAGGTCCTGAAGCCATCCTCAGTATTTTGTCTTGTCGCTTTCTAAAATGAAAAAAAAATTGTCAACACTATACCAGAATAATCTCTTAGTTATCCCTTACACGAAATGGACGTGCACAATAATAATAAATGATGACCTCACACTTTTTTCCTCTTTGTATATTTTTTTGTAAAAACAGTCAATTTGGACCGATTTTATCGTAATCGTGTTTCAATTTCAAAGGTCAACTCGATTTCAGACTGTTTGTCTTTTAGGTCCGTTAATGTATAAGCAAACAGATAACAATTGTCCATTAGTGTTAAAAGGAGCATGAAATGTGTTTTCGAGTATTCAGAAGTTACTAATTTATTCCATAGATCAATTTACATTTAAAAACCTAATGATTTTTGTTTATAGAATTATATTTATTTTACCACCAGGCTGATCGTATTACTTTATTTCATGTATAAAGTATGACTTAATAACTAATGTCATGGAATTTTCAAGATATTTACATAAAAATAATGTTTAGAAATATTTTTTTTAACCCACCACAAGGGTAATATCATTTAAGAATCCGGTTTAAAATTTGTCATTATGGTCTCGACAACCTTGATCTTGATCCGCACCAGTTTCCCGACCATCTGTTATGATTCGGATTAGGACCATATGGCTTCAATAACAACATTCGTTTGATATCAAAAGGAGTAAGAAATCCCTTAAACAGTTTCCAAACAAACGCTTTTTTAGTGTAAAAAGAAATAAAATTTTCAACTAACTACTACCTACACTTAAAAATGCACATGCCGTCATGGTCTAATGTACCTATTATAAAGTCGACTGTAAAGGAACATTTTCTCATAAAGCGTAGGCGGTCTGGTTATATGTTTTTGCTCGGTCGTGTTAAAGAAAAATAGTATTAATTACACCTCGTGGTATGGTACCACTATATTCTATATGTGTTAACGATCATTTTAATCTCCGAGTTGTGCCCAAAACCTTTTTATTATAGATTAAAATTGCATTTGAAAGATATTAAACCCAATGTGATACGAGCAGGTCCCGTAACGTCATTAATATTTAATGTATCAATGAACGGACACTAGACAAACAATTATTAATGAACGAGCAAACGATAACGGTTTTACACAACCGTTTGGAAATACTAATTGTTCCGAGGCGCATGACACAAATTTTTAATAAAAGTAATTTCGGTGGCTTGACACTGACAGGGCGAATAAAAATAAAGTATAATCGAAAGGGTAGTTTTACCTTTACACAAGAATATGACTCTTTTTAAACTTTATCTCCCCCGACAATAAAGACGACATGACATGTCATATATTATATTAGCTGCAGTCTGTTGATCGTAAAAAATAGTTAGTGAAAAACCCTCAGCCGGTTATTCATCGTGTTCGAGTAACGACGACATCTACAAAAAGCCAAAACCCATTTGCTTCAATCGCTTTTAATCCATAAAAAAACTCATCATATTAGTTTGTCAATTTTCTACGTTTACCTGAATTATAAATCACAGACGCCCACACATTTTCTTTTAATTTAATATTATTTTATTACGTAATACGACCTTCCTAATCCTCATTACCTTACATGGTGACCGATCCATATTTAGCAAGGACGTCTGAAGTGTTTCACTAAAGTATTTCCCTAGTTAACTTAATTAGCCATTACAATAATTATTATGACTAACTATTTAACACGGTGACCAACTGAACTATAATTTATTCAGATACTGCCCGGCTTTGTTTTGATACAGGTTCTATTAATAGTATTTTTTATCCCAAAAGAAACTTATTACTGTCATTTGATGTCCAGTAGTCCGTAACATAATGTTTTTTTTATGAGATAATTATACAATATAAAACACTAATAATGCGTCTGAATTGTACAATGGACCGGATAGATCGTTAGTCTTTCTTCGACTGTTTTTTCTTTGATTTATAGAAAGGTAATGGTGATGGTTTACTCAATAAATCTTGTAACTCAATTCTATCTAAAACTATTTTTTCTTAACACTTAACGTAGCTTTATGCTATACGCGAAAATTACTGTTCTAGTGAAAACCTATTCAATATTTTAACGCGGTGAAATCGGTCTTTTAAAAAACGTTTAAACGTGTTATGATCATACGCGCTACAAAAACTCCAGCAAATATCGCGACTTACAAAACTGAAACATTCAAAAATATAACCGACATGTAGTTTAACCTACTTAAGTTTGTTGCGAATCCTATTCTAAAAACCAACTGTGTTACTGATTAAGTTTGCGAAAATCATTTGTTAAAATACCGTTGAAAAGTTTTTATGACAACACTAATGTAATCCAACTGATTGCGCCATTTATCTTCTGAACATTATACACAACTAATGCAATTACACAGTTCAGCAAAACGATTGTAAAAATATTTACTAAAGAGATCTTAATAATATGAAATACGAACGTATTTTTAACTGGGTTAAACGTCTGTGAATCATAACATTAAAACTAAACAACAAATTTTCTGTTGTCGTCCACATTTTAAAAATACCGTCTGTCAGTTTATATTTCCCACTTACACTTCCTAGACTATTTAAAGCCATCTGAAATCAAACGTTGGAATAAAAATTTTTGCATCCAATCTACTAACTGTTACTATCAGTTGAACGTTTTGTGCAATGCCGTCGGTCGACACACTTGTACTCGATTAATTTTACAGGTGCGTGTACACCTGACAAGACTGAAAATATCAAAAATTTTAGCGTCCTTCCATCTGGTCCATATTATCTGGTGCTAGTTCTTCTGAATGAATCATTTTTTTTCTCGAGTAAAATTGTTAACACAAGCGCCCACAACGATGAATCACCAACAGAGCCGTGCCCATCGCATATACGCCTTATTTGCCCGATGCATCATATTTTAACCGTGGGTCGTCAGATTTCGAAACCCACAATATCGCAAAATCATAATGACATAATGTAAAAATTGAAAAAACAAAATTAGTTTGTTAACATCAGTCGACGCGCCATACACACAAATCCGGATGTGTGTTGTTCACAGTACCCGGTAAATATTTCTTTTTAATATAACAGCAGCCGTTTATATTTTCCGTTGGCACATTGGATTGTTTAGAGTAAACCAGAGTTTGTTTCTACGTTAGAATACATATATCAGTTTTTTTTTTTTTTTTTTGCCTTACCTAAACTTGGTATTTGCATATTATCGTCTCGCAATTTTACACTATCCAAACCTTGTTTTGCGAATACACCCACGCTAAGACATAATGTGTTTCTTTCTTTGGCTATATTCGAGACAACTTAACTGTAAATCGTTAGTCAGGCGAAATAACGACACGTTCGGATACCGAGAACATTGGCAGTAAAAAAGTAATCGCCGTGAACGATTAATAAAACACAATTCGCCTTAGACTCGCCAATTATCTGCTCGCTGCACCAATTGTTAAATTCTGAATTATCGTTAAGAACGGGACCGGTGGAACCTAATAGCTTTTGAGGTTACGGCTGCGAATTGACTGTTTTATTGTATGTTAAGTACACGGCACACAAATGATTCAAGTCTGTAGTTGGCGAAGTAAAAATTGATTTCTCCCTCGGGGTCCTCCGACGATCATAAAACCATTCTGTTGATATTTCCCTTGAATAAATCCATCAATAGAAAACTCAGAGCCGCTTGAAAACGGCTTGTTTTGGAATACAACAACGAAATCCAATTACGGATAAACCCTATTTCGTAACTGGGTAATATGATAACTGTTGATTTTGGAATAGTGTGGAAAAAAGTCGTCAGTACCCCTCCAAAAACCATCCCAAAAAACATGTCGGACGTTTTTCACTTGTTCTCACTCATCATCACTATCGTTTTACTATGGATCAAAATGTAATACAATTTTCTTCGACAAGCTTCATAGAATAAAACGAATTTTATTATTTACAAAGGCTCAACCAAACGGCAAACAGATTTATTTTACACAACTCGTAGCTCAAACAGCTATCGCAATTACTTTAAAACGAGTTGCCATTATCCTCCGCATTTCATTCGTTCAATTTGGTTAACTAGAGTCATTAAACAAATGGTTCGCAATTATACGTGTACACATTTCCACTAATACAAAGTAACTATGATAGGAATCGTCACGAAATCCCGAAGATCCTATGCACGAATTTCCTACCCACCTGAAAATCTGTTACAGCAATACTTAATCACTGTAGCAAGTTAACTATTCCTATGGTACTCCTTCAAGACTGGACACTATTACACTATTAAAAGAACTCGTATTACTGTTAATGTGTGTTTTATTTTACATACTTATGACTCAATTGTTTGTTGAATCATACAAAGTATGTTAAACGCTGATTGTATCACAGCGGATAGAATTTCACGCGTAAGACAAACATTCAACTAAAGTAAATAGTAGTGATTATTTGCAAAAGCGTTAACTACAAGCATGTCGAAACATAAAGCGTGATTGTTGATCATTGTCTGTGATAGTAAGATACTATGAAAAATAAAAACAAATATACAGATTATAATATTTATCCGAAAATTCAAAATGTATTCCATAAACGGAAAACGTATCAAGAAGTGAACGGATGTCGTGAGAAATACAAGAATCATAAAATAAAAACGATATTGTTCGTTATACTCATATTTAATAAAAATTGATCACTTGTGACTAATATTATTTAAAATTCAACCTGTAATAAAAATATTATTGATTTAAAACTAAAAAATATTAAACTCAAAAAGCTACAAAAA